TTTATTTATTTATTTATTTATTTATTTATTTATTTATTTATCATATTTATATAGCCGCCCATCTCACACAGAGTGATTTTATGTATTATTTTTAATGTTAATGTTAATATATTGCTTTATTATTTTATTCAATGCTGTTTTAACTGTTACTTGTCACTATTTAAGGCTATGGTTTGTTATTATCATTTGAAATTTGCCACGGGTTGGCTTGCTAGAAGTGCAGGGGTACAAACTTGACAATTCTATAAAGAAAGAAAGAAATATCACCATGTATTTTATCTATAGGATCACTGTACTGTAACTGAATCATTCACCTCCTGTTTTTGGAAATCAGTTTATTTTTGAAAAAAAGTTAATATTCAGTAGGAAGTCTTAAAGGTTATTTATACAAGAGAATTTTGGTTTTTTGCAGGGCAGTGCAAGAATAAATTCAATTTACATTCTGACATTTGCACCCTCAGTGCCTAATTTCAAGATGTGAATATTAAGTAATAGCACTGCCTATTGGAAAAGTGAGCGAAAAATGCTAACATGTCATTGTACATACCTATCTGAACAATATGACAAACACAAAGTTGTACAGTGAATTAAACCTTTGAGCCCATCTCTGGGAACATAAAATCTATCTGCCTGTCTGAATAGCAATCTGGATCCAGTTTCCTATAGATGTGCTACTGGCTATATGTAAAAACTATACTGTTGAATGAAGATCCCATTTGTATTAAACACTGCATATGTATTGTTATTCCAGCATAAAATTTGCAAGCATACAGACATTATGCTCTGAATCTCAACCGTCCCTCAACATGCCCTTACCAGCAAGAATTTCAAATAGCATGCCTGGAAAGAACATTTCTTTTATTGAATCTGCTTTTAGTCAGAGTAGATAATATCAGGGTCTCTTGATCAATGGATTCAGTGGTAACTGCATATGAACATAACATGTGGAAGAGGTGATGCCATACTAGAAATGATGGCCTATTATTTTAACAGGCTACAACTATTAGACAACTCTTGTATCGCACTTGCATGTTGATCTGAGCAACAACGGAACTTTGGTATTAGTGAGGATAAACTGATAAACAGATACACTGAATACAAATCTCAGTTCTTAGAAACAATCTAGTAATCAAAACACTTCTAAATTCCTTTTAGTTGCACTGACTAAGATAATTGGACTTTGAAGTGCTTTACTTTGACAGGATTGTAGCCATATTTATGGCCAATATATAATTACTGGTGCTTCCATTTCAAAGATAGGGATGGAAGAGTTTGCCATTTTGTTTGTACCTGACTTATTTCACCAAGTACAAATTTTGTCAGGCTGTTTCAGCATATGTATTTTCCTGCATTTTTTCCTTAATAAAATGCACTTACCTATATAGTGTGTACATTTTTGTCTGCATTTCCATCTAATGTATGCATTTTCATGTGTATTATGTCCTGTGTTTAAACATTCAGAAAACTGAATATTTGGCGATGAATTTGCATTTCAGATTCTCATAAGAAATCTCCAAAATAATTTCTTCACAACAATTCATATCTTATCCCAGACAAAACTGAACAGGCAGTCATGATATGAAAATAAAACAATGCTAATGAGATATGCCCTACTAACTACCAAAAACAGATTTACTACTCAATAATTTCACAAAACAGAAATTAATACAAAAAAATCCTAAAGTAATATGAAGAATTTCATATACATATTTGATACTTATATTCAGAATGTTTATAGATATCCTTTATTAAAAAACAACATTGCTTTTGGATGTTTGAAGAATGAAGACCCTGGCATTCCTTTCATATTAGATGAAGAACACAGGCAAATACATGACTTTTTTCCCAAGATATAAACATGGATTGTAATAGCTCAGATTAAGATATAGTTATGGACAACTGGAAGCCACAGATGCAGATGTATGGTATGCACCAATCTACATCAGAAGATTCAAGAGAGTTTGAGTGAGCACTGAATTGGATAAATGCATCCAATGGAGCATTGGTTAAGTGCATGGATGAATGCCTAAAGGGTTCTCTTTTGCATTGATCTCTTTGACTACACTGAGATGCAAGAATATTTACTAAATAAAATGCAAAGAAAGCTTTGTCTTTTAAGATGCAATGAAATTCTATAGTCCTATTTAGTAAACTGTATTTAATTTCATTTTTCTTTTCTACTAATTGAAGCTAAAAAAGAAGAAATCAGACTAACTGTCCATTTGTGTGTCTCACTTGGGTGATTCACTTACCCATTGAACCATTGTGTTAATCACGTTTGAACTCCCACAATAATAATTAAAGAAAAATCAATTTAACGTAAATAACTTTAAACTCCTCTCTCTTCCCCTCTCCTCGTTCTTAATATTCTGAAGAGTGCAATGGCAGAGCTACAGAATGAAAGGAATTTTATAAAATGAAAGAAAGCAAGTGAAGCATAAATCATGCAGGCTGGTGAAAGCTGTGATGGAAGGTGAAGATGAAATCTAAAAATAATTTAAATTCAACAAGCCCCCCCCCAAAAAAGCATATCAGCTTAATTTCCTGTGCTAAAATAACTTTTAGGAGAGTGGAATAAATGGTGGGACTTTCATAGTCATAGCTTTCACTGTGGGATCCTCCAGCAAAATCTGAGAGGCAGAAAGAAACAAAAGCAAACAGACACACCAAGATTAGGTGCATGGATTATAGTACTGCTAAGGCACCAAGGCCATGATGAGAAGAGAAGAGAAGAGAAGAGAAGAGAAGAGAAGAGAAGAGAAGAGAAGAGAAGAGAAGAGAAGAGAAGAGAAGAGAAGAGAAGAGAAGAGAAATGTTTCCAATGAGCAAAATTTGAGGCCTACTAGCAGGGAAAAAAAAAAAAAAAGATTAAACTGTATTACCTCTAGCCACTGAGAAATTCCCCAGACAGTTTGGATGTAATTTAAAAAGATCAGGGGGAAAAACAAACAAACAAACTTCTCAGTATTACGGCTATATGGTTTAAGGGCGTATATTTGTGAGGTGGCAGCTCTAATCATTTTTATTGACTTGCTATTGAGAGATAGAGGTGAGGCATGGCAGACAGATGAGGTACCACATACCCTATTTTTTTCAGATCTTCCATAATTTGCTTGAAAATATTTATTCTGAATATTAAAAGGTTGTTTTAAAATACAAATGACATATATTCAATATAGAATAAGATATAAGTAAAATTCATGTGCATAATTGTTTCTTTCATATGTAATATTAGAATACCTGGGATGGACCTATGAATTTTAAAAATATATCCCAGTTAAACACTAATGGTATTTTTCCGAATCATTTACATACATCACTGTTTTTAATGTATCCACTTCCAATATTTAATATATTCTTTGTAATAAGTATATTTGACTTTTTAAAGGAAAAGTATTTTAATTTGTATATGATTCTAGTTCAACAAATCCAAATGACATATATTCAATATAGAAGTATTACATTTACATGCAATTTAAATCAAGATTTAGAACACATAAATTGCATTATCCACATAAGCCTTGATGAAGATTAATTAATATAAGATTTTCTTTCAATATGAAGTCATTTGTCTTGCAGCTAAAACACAAAAACTGTATTCACTGTTCAATTGCTCCAAGACATTTTTAATGGACTTTAAAGTATGGTTCTGTGACTTCATCTGCTGCTAATGTTATGAAACGTGCCTGAAAGCTTACTAAACAGTTTTCACTTGAATAGGAAAAGATTTCCATATCTTTTCAGATTTTCTCTCCCTTAGATCAGTAAAAGGTCAACAGTGAAAAAGAAGAATTAAAGAAAGGTTTGTTTTCAAACTCTGTGTGTGTGTGTGTGTGTGTGTATGTATATGTATTGGTATTTGTATTCATTCATTTTATAATACTGAACATTTAAACAAGTGTCCCATCATCTAGTTAGTCCAACAAAATATTTGATTATGTATATATTAATTGACAAAATTGCACATGTATCTATAGTCAAATTTTATGCAGTATTTCATCAATTAGAAGTGAAACCATGATATGTCTCTAACCATGTTCAGCCAACATACTCAATACAGTTTATCAGGAAATGGTTGATAGCATATGATGGATACATCACATGATACACCAGCAGCCACTGCTGCTTATTTAAAATTTGTTTTGGTGTTGTCAAATCACCTGTCAGCAACATTAATCTGCTGCTTTCTAAAGGCTGTGAGTCTAGTCTCTGATAGAGGACATGAGAACCATACAATAAACCTTATCTAAGCTAGTGGTAGCTCTTGGCAAGCTATGCAGAGCAACAGGGAGGAGTAACCACAGGTAAATGTGGAAATGACTGTTGAATCATAATTTAATTTAATTTAATTTAAATTTAAATTTATACCTCGCCTTTCATTTGAGAATGCAATGCTGTTTACAAGGGTGTCCCCTCTTAATCACTATAACAGCAACTCCTATGTGGGAAAGACTGGGTTGGAAGTTGGAAGACAGTAGCCCAAGTCATCCCATGAGCTCTGTAGTTCAACCTAAATCTCCCTGGTCAAAATCTAGCACCTTAACTACTGTATCTAAATGTTCCTATTGTTTTAAGACATTTTTTTGCTACTACAGTCCACATATTAGAAAAATAGCATATCATAATATCTGAATCTTCTATAAATACCCATGAAAGTTTGAGGCTTGCCTAATACTATGCTAACTGATGCCTGAATGAAAGCTTATGTATATTCTTAACATGCTTGCTATTTAAGAACCAGATGATGAATGCTAGCTTTTCTTCCTTGTCCAAAAAAAAGAAAAAAGAAAAGAAAAAAAAGAATTTCAACAAAAGAATGAGCTTTTCCAGCTGCAGAACCCTAGACAGGAAATACCTTCCTGTGAGAAGTCAGTGTCAGTCTGCTGTTCCTCAAGACCATTAGCCACCTCTTAGCATCTTTCAGAAAAATGCATGCACTGGGTAGAACTGAGAAGTATTAAATAGGGACAGTTGAGAGCTAGTAGTAGAGGAGGGCTGTTGGTTAGAGAAGGAGCTGCTTTTTAATGAGAAGATTACAATGAAGGTGGCTGGAGAGAAAAAAGGGAAGGAAGGAAAAGAAATGATGGCTGCTGTGGTCAGAGGAATCAGAAGCTGAGTGGAATCCATGAGGGGCTGGTAAAAAAAAGATCCTTGCATTCTCCCAGAGGAGAATTCCCACAGAGGATATTGGGAGAAGGTAGAAAGCTGAAAGAGCAGAATGGTGTCCTGTCAACAGAAGATGAGGCACTGCTGTGCCTACTGAGAGCCACTGACCTCAGACTCAGATGCTTGCTGAGAGAAGCAAAGCAAGTGACTGAGAAAAGAGGGAGGGGGGAGAAGGAAGGAGAAGAGATAATAAAAGTCTCCAGAATGAAGCTGTAAGGCAATAAATGAGTCAAGAAAGTGTTAACAGAGATAAATAATGAAGGAGAACAGGAGAAGTAAACAACTTAGTATTCAGGCAGAGAAGCCAGTATAGTTTGTATGTAAATGTGTAATAAACTCCTTTTCTGTAATAAAAGCCTGATCTCCTGCCGGGTTGCCATCATCCCTTATAAAACAACCTATGACACTTAGCCAAGGGGTTTCTGTGGCTCCCTTAATATCTCTTAGGCACCAAGGGAAACTTTTTTATTCAACCAAATATTTTAATATTTCCATGATGCATGTTTGCTATTTTTATTTCTGTTTTTTATAGCTGGAAAATTGAAGGGTGCTTTCTATCAAGATGATTGCACTCTGATGCTAAGTTTCTGATGTAGGCAGTAAATAAATTAACAATATTCTAAATTTTTTGCTCCCCCCTTTTCTTCTCTTTTACCCTGTTCATGAAGTCGGAGGGAGGGGGGATAAAAGTGGACAAGCAGAAAAAGGAAAAAATTCACAGGGACAGAGAAGCATAGGTCTGACCAATTTTTTCTCCATTTAAATCATAGTTTACAAAAAGTTGTTGTGTGTGCACTCACTCACAGCTCCACAAGGGCCCTGTTCCTCCTTTAAAAAAAAAAAATGAATGAATGAATGAATGACTATGCAAATTGAGATGACCACTGCCAGTTTGAAAATGAATAGGGCTGCAAGAATCTGGATGACCACTAGATGACAGCAAGGTTTTCTGTATCTTTCTTACCATATACAGTGATCTCCGTATTTCTGTGGCCCTATTTTGATAACTGTAAAAAAAAAAAAAAGAAGAATAAAGCAGTGCTTGTTTGTTTTAAAGTAGAAGAAAAAGTAAGAAAAAAATCCTGGTTTGTAGGAAATAAATAATCCATAAACTCCAGGAGCATTATTCATTCTACTTTTGAAATAAATACTCATCTAGGACTTTTAATACTTTAGTGATTTAATGTTAAGTGCATATTGCTTTGTGTTTTGTATTTCTTCTTTATAATTGTCTTTGATTACTGTTTCCACTGTATCTTTTGTAAACCAAAGATTTACAAAATCTTTGAGAGACATCAAAGGAGTGGGTATCACATAAATTTTGTAAAGAAATTTATACTTTTAAATAATTACCTTTAAATAAATAAATTAAAAAAAGACTTATTTTCAAAAGATGTACAAAAAGTAACAAGAATGTATGTTAAAAATGCAAACTGTATCACCCCTTAGAAAAAGCTGATAATTAATGGGATCAAGGTAGAAAATGAATTTAACTATTTGCTCATTTGCTGTAGTATTGAAGAAAATTTATATTCTAAAAGTAACAATTACAGTTTATATACTTTCAGGGATAAATTGCTATCTTCCAGCATTTGAAAATCTGGGTTGTACTTAATCCTTAATGGATGCCTTTTAAATATGACTGCCTATATAAGTTGGTTTTCCACCTTTTCTTCAATGAAATCTATGATAATAGAGGCATAGGCTGGTGAAAATGAAAATAAGAATACTCATTGTATTAACAAAGGTGAAAGTATTTGTATTCTGCTTGCTAATACAATATATTATATAAACTCATGAAGAACTGGTTCTTCTGAAGTAAAGGAACACAGCAGGCACAGAAGAGTTTTTAACAATATGTAATGGTGTGCTTTGAGGCAAGAGAAAGGTCAGGCATTAATGGTTTGTACCTGACTGCAAACAATGTTGGAGGACATGTTGACTTTTCCTATAGAAAGTCTTCCTCACAGGTGAATCGACTATCTTCTTTTCCCAGGATTTGGGTTCTGCTTTGTTCCAAAAGCACCTGAAATATTCCATTGCAGCCAGTTGTTAACAGCAGGAGGGAGGTCCTTTTGTTTCTGTCTGGAAGTTATTCTAACACTATACTACAGCTGAATTAATGCTGAATGATGCTTTCTGATATACAAGACTAGCTCTTCTAGCCTTAGGATGTCAATAGCTGATCAATTGGATAATAAATTGTTTTAAATGTAATTAAAATGACAATTGAATATAATATGAGAAGATCCTACAGTGATATGCATTACTATCAATAATATTTTGAGATTTGATTATTAGCAAAAATGTTGATTCAAATATTCGGAAAACTATTTAATAGCATAGCTTATGAATTGAAATTGAAAAGGAAAAAATGAACTATTATTGGGGGCTCTGAAAAAAATGTATGATTCACTAACAAATTGCATGTTTATACAATTTAGCATCAATTTTCCAATTAAAAATCTGAGACATATCTGATGCAAGAAGTCTTGCAAAACAACTGCAAAAATCTTTCATTTTACCAAATCTTTTGTGATTTAGATGCAGGCAATTGTATCACGCAAATAAGTGTTTAAGAACCATACTTGGAAATATTTTCTATGTGCTGCAGAATTTATTAATATTTAATTTGTCTTAAATGAGAAAAGTGTAAGTAATTATTTGTCATTCACCAATTACAGTTGCTACATAAACATTTCGTTTGAAAGATCAATGCTTGCAAATCTATGCCACAATATAAATCTCTCAAGTAAACCATTCAACAGGTTTTGAGAAGAATGAAGTTAGTATATCTTTCATTATTTTTCATGAATATTTTTCTATACCTTTAATGTTCAACTGAATATAATTCAAACAGCAAATGATAGAAGACTGAATTTTCCAGAATTTATTATTTCATAGGTTAATATAGGAGACAGTTATTTATATCTATCTATCTATCTATCTATCTATCTATCTATCTATCTATCTATCTATCTGACTGACCTACCTACCTACCTATCTTAAAGCAATTAAAAATATAACTTTTGAGACAGGACTGGCAAAGCTATGCAAACTTACACCAGCAATGGACAGATAAAATGGAAAAATATTGACAGTACCTCTCAATCCACACATCTGATTACTCCAAATTGACTTTCTTCATTTCACTTAAAATGTAACGAACTGCTTGGAAACCATATCTAAGTATCTGTTAAGGCTAAGAAAGAAGTTGACAAAGGAAAAAAATGCCCCAGTTACTGTGGTTTTAATGCTTATGGATGAATTTTATGTAACAATATAATACTTTTCAAATTGATCTGCTTATCTTTTAAATTGCATCTTTTAACAGTTTTCAGTTGCATCACTGATGAAAACATGAGTTGAGTGTGTACACACAAATACAGAAATTTTTCAATTTAAAAAAAGAAAAAGGTAAATGGCAATACATAAATAAATAAATTGCATAGGATTTACTCTTTTTAAAGTTTAAATATAGGCCTATCCAGTGATTTTCAAATGTATTCCAAGTCAGACTATGAAATCTTTGAATTTAAGTAATCCAAGCCAATATTTATGTCTGAAAAGGTGCATCTAGATGCCAATTTTTCCAGTGGTCACATTTCTTTGCCACCACTTCTCCAGATTTGTTAGACTACCAAGTAGCTCTGTTCTAAATTACCATGCATTATCAATTATTACAACTATATTTTTTAAAAATTTGCTATTTAATTTTTACATGTAATTTCATTACTATTACTGACAGAAGCACCATCTGAAAGGTTCTTTGTTTTGTTTTGTTTTATCTGCAGGATGTATAAACATTTGAATTTGCCAATATAAATCCTATTTATATATCTACAACACAAGGAAAGAATTCAGAAGATCAGGGACTATTATTTTCACATTATTTTACATTGTGTAAATAAATGAGATTGTGGACCTGTAGACCAACCTATTATTCCTGATAGACACACTGCGAATCTATCTATCTATCTGTCTGTCTGTCTGTCTGTCCATCTAGCCAGCCAGCCAGCC